TTATTGGAGTAAACTGGTGCTCTAAAGTCATTTCTGTGACATCTAAGCATTTCTTTATTTTTATTTTTTCCTTTTTTTATTGAGACAGGGTCTTGCTCTGTCACCCATCCTGGAGTGCAATGACATGCTGATGGCTCACTGCGGCCTCTACCTCCCGGGCACAATTGGTCCTCCCACCTCATAGTTTCCCAAGTAGCTGGAACTACAGGCGTGTGCCACCACCAACCACACCCTGCTAATTTTTTTGTATTACTGGGAGAGACGAAGTTTCACCATGTTGCCTAGGCTGGTCTCGAACTCCTGAGCTCAAGCAATCCACCTGCCGCTACCTCCCAAATTGCTGGGATTACAGGCATGAGCCAACATTTGCCAGTTTTATAGGAAGAAAAAAAGAATTGCCTTTTTAGTCACTCTGAGAAGAAATTAATAATCCTTAAAGTCTCTAGAGACTTTTTCTTCTTAAAAAAAAAATGGATATTTGTACCTTTTATTGCAGTCACTAGTTCTCTTTGTGTCATACTGTAATTATTCATGTTTGCTTCAGCAGATTGTGAATTCCTTGAGGGCAAGAACTGGGTGTATAGCAGATGCCTAAGATATTGGTAAAAAATGTTTGAGAAGTGAGGGGGCGGGCATGTTGGGGAGGAAGAGATTTCTACGATTTAATCAGAACCCAACTGGTCATCAGGGATAAGGAAGGGGAGGGCAGGAGTAGTTCATATTCAGAACCATCTTTTCTAATTTCCTTTCTTTCTTTCTTTCTTTCTTTTTTGGGGGAGTGGGGGAGTGACAAACTGATGGCTCACTGTAGCCTTGACCTCTCGGGCTCAAGTGATTCTCCCACCTCAACCTCCAGAGTAGCTGGGATTACAGACACGCACCACCATGGCTGGATAATTTTTGTATTTTTGGTAGAGATGGGGTTTCACCATGTTGGCCAGGCTGATCCCAAATTACTGGGCTCAATTGATCTGCCCGGCTTGACCTCCCAAAGTGCTGGGATTACAGGCATGAGCTACTGCACCCAACCCTAATTTTCTTTTGCATAGAAGTGATATGGTAGTGTGAGGATAAGCTCAATTGTATGGGTTTGTTTTAGTTGTTTTTTACTCACATACTTTAAATTATTACTGACTCACAATCTGCCCAAACTGGAAACCTTTAGAGATAAAGGAGAGAGGTCACATGTTTTAGATTTCTGAGATAGTCTTACTTTAAAGTTTTCTGTGCTATTGTTCTCTACGGTATAATTCATGGAGATGGAGTAAACTGGTGCTCTAAAATCATTTCTATGAGATCTAAACATTTCTTAATTTAATTTATTTATTTTTATTTTTTACTTTTTTTTAATTGAGACAGGGTCTTGCTCTCTCACCCATCCTGGAGTGCAGTGACGTGCTCATGGCTCACTGAATCCTCTACCTTCCGGGTTCAATTGGTCCTCCCACCTCAGTTTCCCAAGTAGCTAGGACTACAGGCATGTGTCACTACCCACCATGCCCAGCTAATTTTTTGTACTTTTGGGAGAGACAGAGTTTCACTATGTTGCCCAGGCTGTTATAATTCATGGAGATGGGTAATAATTTTTTATTAAAAACATGTTTGCTTCAGCAGATTGTGAATTCCTTGAGGGCATGTATGTAAAAATCTATGTAAAGAAAATTGGAATAAATCATATGTCATAGTTTTGTAATGGGGAGTGTTGAACATATTAGTGAAACAGAATATTTTTAGAATTACTACTATTAAATTATATTTAACTTATTAATTTTTAAATTTTTTTGGATATGAAGTCTCACTATGTTTCCCAGGCTGGTCTCAAGCAATCCTCCCCCAGTGCTGGGATTTACAGTTCTTTTTATTCTTGATCTTTAAAATGCCTAACTTCAGGCCCAGGGCGTGGTGGCTCATACGTGGAATACCAGCACTTTGGGAGGCTGAGGTGGGTGGATTGCTTGAGGCCAGGAATTCAAGACCAGCCTGGGCAAAATGGTGAAACCCTGTCTCTACAGAAAAATACAAAAATTACCCAGGCACGATGGCCCACACCTGTAGTATGAGCTACTTGGGAGGTTGAGAAGGGAGGATCACCTGAGCCTGGAAAGTCAAGGCCACAGTAAGCCGTGATCACACCACTGCTCTCCAGCCTGGGTGACAGAGTAAGACCCTGTCTCAACAAACAACAACAACAAACACAAAGCCTAACTTCATTACTAACTGAAGAACTTTCTTTCCCTCATAGATCCTGAGATTACTCTGAAAGGTATTTTCATCCAACCAGTCTATTGAGAAGTTATCCATCTTTAGTGGCATTTTGATATCATTGGTAAGAAAAGTTTATGAATAGGCGAGCTTTGTTTTATATCTTTTTTTAAGAGTCTAGTTTTATTGACTGATTGATTGATTGAGACATAGTCTTGCTTTGTCGCCCAGGCTGGAGTGTGGTGGTGCAACCTCGGCTCACTGCTACCTCTGCCTCCCAGGTTCAAGCAATTCTCCTACATCAGCCTCCCAAGTAGCTGGGATTACACGTGCCCACCGCGCCCGGCTAATTTTTTTATTTTTAGTGGATGCAGGGTTTCACCATGTTGGTGAGGCTGGTCTTGAAATCCTGACCTCAAACAATCCACCTGCCTCTGCCTCCCAAAGTGCTGGGATTACAGGCATGAGCCACTGCACCTGGTCGATGGTTTTATTTACTTTTTAAAACACCAGTCACTATATATGTCTGTTACATTATGGTAAAAAACTTAGCTAATAGCATCATATGGTCATTTTAAAACTTCTCAAGAATTTGGGAAACCTGAGTGTAAATTTCAGTCCTGAGAGCCCAAGCCTTCTAGTAAGAAAAAAAAAGGAGATTAGAATATTTAGCTCATAGGACTATTGTGAGGGTTCAGGAAATTAATATGCAAATGAATTTGTATAATGTATTAATACTTGGTGCATAGTTGTTGAAGGAATTAATTTTATTAAAGTTCTGTTTTATTGAGTGCCTGAGGCTGTGATAAATTCTAGAAATGGGAACAATGCTGTGAAAAAGATAGATGGGACGCAGCTCTCTTAGGAATCCCTCCTTACCACTTCCAGCCCCAACCCCTCTCTACTGAGTATTACCCTTCTTGACCAAAAAATGCGTTGGTGAGTAATTTGTTGCCTTTTAATAAAATGTCTAACAGGAATAAATATAAGATCTCAAAATGTATTTTGTATAGTTTGTGAAATTTAAACCATAGTATACTTTTTTGGAAAGGCAACATATTTAGGGCAGTGGAACTACTCTATGTAATACTGTGATGGTGGATACATGTCATTATACATCTGTCCAAGCACACAGATTGTATAACACTAAGAGTGAACCCTAATGTTCACCGCAGTCTCAGGGTGGTAGTGATGTAAGTTCATCAGTTGTAACAAATGTACCACTTGGGTGCAGGATGTTTTGGTCAACGACTGATTGAATATATGATAGTAGTCCCATAAGATTATAATACTATATTATTACTGTACCTTTACTCTGTTTAGATGTGTTTGGATACACGGATATCACTGCGTTACAATTGCCTACAGTGTTATGTACAGTAACCTGCTGTGCCACTTGTAGCCTAAGAGCAATAGGCCATACTATTTAGCCTAGGTGCATAGTAAGCTATACCATCTAGGTTTGTGTAAGTACACTCTGTGATGTTTGCATAGTGGCAGAATCATCTAACAATGCATTTCTCAAAATACATCTCTGTCGTTAAGCAACAGATGGCTATATATGGGAACTCTCTGATTTTGCTGTGAACCTAACAATACTCTAATAACAACGTTATTAATTAATACTCTAATTAATTAATACTCTAATATTGGCTTGGCGTGGTGGCTCACACCTGTAATCCCAGCATTTTGGGAGACCGAGGGGGGAGGATCCCTTGAACCCAGGAGTTAGACACCAGCCTGGGCAAGGTGGCAAGACCATGTCTTTACAAAAAAAGAAAAAGAAATAAAGAAAAATAAGGTCTACCAGAAAAAAAATTCAGAAGAAAGAAAAAAACCCAAAACAAAAAGGGCAAAAGTAATATGTAACCATTTTCATTTTTCTTTGCCCAAAATTATTGTTATAATAGGTTTGTATTTGGAAATTATCTACTGTGATACAGACCTCCTGTCTTTTTTGCTGGGATTAACAAGGTTTTTCCATAAAGGTTCAGATCATAAATATTATGTGCCAAGAGGTAAAATCAAGAATATTATGATACTGATATCAAGGGTATCATATATTATTTCTACAAATTTTTACTGACAAAATTCAAAATATAATAATGGAATACAATGTTTTGGTAATACAATTCTGATGAGAAAACAGAATTCTTTTTTTTCTGGGATAACATTTCATTTAATTGGGGTCAAAGTTAATGTGCCCCATCATCAAAATTGACTACAAAAATTCTCCTTTAATACGCCTAAGAAGCTGTATATTAGCACACGTGTGCATTTCTATATCAAAACCATCTATAATTTGTTTTGTTTCCTCTTTATTCCTCCTTTAATGGTAGTGATTGATAGGTGTCAGCATGCTATTTGAAAATCAGTGTTTTTACAGTGAATGATTCTAAAGTGGCTTAATGGGAAATGCTATTTTCTGTGACTCATTGGTCACATAATTTTGACCTTTAGCTTTGGCTTGTATAACCAAGAATTTCTATCTGTTATGTAGCTTTTTCCTGTCACTGCTGGGTACTTTGGCCCTTCTTTAAACTTTTTGAATGTAATTTAGATTTTGACCTTAGAAGGAAAAGTCAGAAATATTGTTTCTCAATAAATTTTGGTAAGTGATGACTTTTTCATTTGTTTGTTTTCTTGATTAAAGTTGTACATAGAAATATGGTAACCTATTCAGATTGTTTTAGTTGTTTGAAATTTTGTTTAAATTATCCCTAAGGTGAGAACTTAGCAAGAGTGTTTATATGTATCACAATTTTTTTAAGTCTGAAACTTTTTTGGTTTTTCTTTAGATCTTTAAATGGATGAGATGGCTACTACTCAGATTTCCAAAGATGAGCTTGATGAACTCAAAGAGGCCTTTGCAAAAGTTGGTGAGTATTTTTGTAGTATAACTATAGGAAAGCAATATTTATTTGGTCCCAAAGTTACTTCTCTAAAAATGTCACATGAATGCTTGCTTAATCAAAAACATTAGGGCAAGGCAGTTAAAATAGATGGGATAAAGTTTTGGAAGCTTTACTTAAAATTGTACTTTTTTTGGGTCAAGAGTGGTAGCTGATATTATTTCCAATTTTATGTAGTATTTAATATAATCAAGTTTTTTAGACCACAATTCCAGTCCTTAACTGGTGACAACTATGTACGGCTCCTGAAACTTTCATGCCAAATTTTAGTTATTATATTTTGTATATCGTATCTTTCTGAAGAGAAGGTTTGAAACTTTCAGCATGTTCTCAAAGGGATCTGTGACCCTTGAAAACATTAAATGATATTTTACCCTTCCCTAATTAGTTTGGTGTTATTGCCTTTTTTTAACGGATTTTCTGTGCCTTCGGATAATGCAGATTGTTCTACCTTGCCGCATTAAATTATAGCTTTAATATAAGATGAGAAGGCATAGCATGCCATTTGGTTTGTCCTTTATCATCATATAACATGCCTTACAATTGAGCAGCTATGGAAGCAGTATATAATATTTACATTCCAAATTTCATGCTTGGGTCAAGTCTATAGATAAAAATGAGAAAGCAGGGTAAGAACAGACTGCTAATGTAAATACATGAATCAACATGTGCTTAGAGATGTAGATTATTATTATTTGGTAACTCCTTGAATAAATGGTGTAGAATTAGCTTATATGATTTGTTATATAAATCAGAATTTGCCTTTAGACCTGTGTTGAAAATTCCAGTAGTGAAAAATGAGGAAATACACATTTCTATTTCCATATATTTATGGTCAACATTTTCTATGAAGGCACTTAGTAGTAGCAGTGTACCTTGGGAAGAATAATGACCTCAGCCAGAGTGACCATTTATAATCCCATCAAAATTTTAACTAGAAAACACTGAATAGTCGTGAATCTAACATGATTGTGTGTGTGTGTGTGTGTGTGTGTGTGTATAAAACTAGCAGTTAATTAACTTGCTGTGGATACCACTTACTGTAAGAAGAATGCTACGTTGTTTAATATATAACTGCAAGTGAGTTCCTGGCTGCAAGAGTTTGTTTTTAATGTCTCTCATTCTGTCAGAGTAGTCTTATAATTGTTTTAGGAGTACATTTTTGAACCTTTTCTAAAATTTGTATTCATCTTTCAGCATTAAGGGCAGTTTAATTTGTTCTTTATGAATGGAATTTTGGAGTAGGCACCATGCCTTATTAAGAACCTCATCTTCTCAAGTAAATGTTGAATATAGGTCTTGTCCTCATGTGCAGCATCTTGGAAATAACTGTGTGCAATATTCCTGAAAAATTAAAGTTAATTCAGATATTGTTTACCTGATGAGACTTGGAATACATTTTACCAGTGAAAGAACTTCATTTTCCTTTAAAAGCTTAATGACATAAAGAGGATTGACCAATTATCTTTATAGAGGAAGCAGTTAAATTGTATTGAGGGATCAATGAGAAGTTTGACTGTAAGAAAAGGTCATTGTGGAGCTATTGTTTAAGTAGACTGTAAGATAGGTACACAGCTTCTCAAAGCCCCTGCCAGGCATATGTTTGTAACATACTCAGGCTCTTATTACTATGTATGCTATAAAGAATTCTAGAATCCAGAATTTCTGCCTGTTCTGAATATTATTCTTTTGTAGTCTCCACTCAGTTTCTAGCTCTCAGTAAATATTTCACTGATTGAAACCTAAGGAACTATATACATAGCCTTTTGATGTACTGGGATTTTTGTCATTATCGCTTTTTTTTTTTCTTGTCTTTTTGTTTTTTTTCCTTTTTGTGGAAAACGGGGTCTCGCTATATTGCCCAGGCAGGTCTCGAACTCCTGGGCTCAAGCTATCCTCCCGCCTCTGCCTCCCTAAGAGCTGGGATTACAGGCGTGAGCCACAGCACCCGGCTGTCATTATTAGCTATACATTCAGAGGGCCTTTGTTGTGAAGATTTTCATTACAGTGGAATTTATTATTAAAAAGGTTTTTGCCATTAAATTGTAGCATATGAAATTTATATATATATATATTTTTCAGCATAATAAAAGCTTGTGTATACACCATCTTTCAGAAACTCATTTAAGGACCCAGCTGAGTCTTTCAATTTTCTTTAAAAAATCTGTACTTTTAAGTTGTTGTTAGTTATACAGAACCCTCAGGCAACTGTCAAAGGTGTTACAGAAATTTTTTTTCTAATTCAGGGACACTTCATTTTAAAAACAAGCTCTATAACCTATTATCCTGTGAAGGACAGTTGTTTCCTCTCCATGGGGGTGGGTTGGCAGAGAATAGGAAAGACTACTTTGTCCCAGTTCAATTGCGACAAAATATGGAAATCATTAGATGATTTTCCCCATCTATTAACAATAATAGCCTTGATTATCTCCTTAGAAATTCAGCAAAATCATAGTGTGTGGAGAAAATCTCTGTAATTATCACTAATCATAGGTTTTGTTCAATCAATTAATAGTGCTTTGAAACTCTCTTTACTAGCAATAAATTGAGTATTAGAATTTAAAGTTCTCTTTTCACTCACTTTCTGCACCTGCTTAGTTTTAAGTTCCAAGCTCATGTAATTATTTTAATTTTTTCAACAATTGTTTCTAGTGCTTCCCAGTAGCAGAAACCTTAGTTCCCAGTTTTTGTACTTCATGTTTCAGTTTTCATTTAAATGCAGTAATATATAACTTTTTCTAAAGAAGAATAAAACCTTTCAAAACACTTAGGTATTAATATTTTACCATCTAGAAACTGTCTTTTACATTCTAAGCCTTTAATCTTGCTGTGGAAGCTCGTGGTCATTTGGATAATTACGTGTCATAAAGACAAATTCATGTAATGTAAATTTTCGCAGAGTTGCTTTAGTACTGCAAACACTTTTAAATTTGCCTTTTTTCCCTCCTGAGCACTCACTACTGAGGTTTTTTAAACATGAATTCAGCACTTTGGAAATAAAAGAATATTGGGGTTTCTTAAAATGACTAGGAATAGTGTGGGTGTATTCCTTTGAGGTTTCCCACCAAACTAAGCAAAAAAATTTTGGTTGTGTTGATTGTAGCTATACCAGACTTGTCTCATCCCAGGAGGTTGAGTTGTTTCAAATTACTTGATATTCTCTAGTATATAAAAACCACATCAGGATGATGCCACAAGGAAAAAAAAACCCAACAAACATGGTGCTTTAGTTAATTTACTTTTAGTATTCAATAAATCGACACCAGTGCATGTTTGTTTAATTATGCCTTAAAAAAAAAGATAGCCCATCTAAAAAAAATGAAACTAGTCAGTGCTCTTTCATTGTGCCATCTAGTTAATTATCTATGGATTATTAGAAGTATAGGTCTCGGGATAGTCAGAAAACCATGTTTTGAAGGTGTGGAAGCTAGTTAGGAGTACACATGTGTGGGTGCATGGGTAAAAGCAAGAGCACATGTGTGTGTGAGAACACACATGTATTTTTAAAATGAGAGTTTCAGCAGGGGAAGAAATGATGGCCAAACTGCTGGAAATGTTGAGTAAGAAAAGGACAGATAAACATCTTTGATTGCCTGGTCTCACCCTCTAAACTTGTCCAGCTTTCTGCTGAACTTGACCTCCATCTTTGGAAATCCACTAGTATGGTGAATTCTAATGCAGCAACCTCCAGTCTACCCTTAGCTGGAACTCATTAAACTGCCTCTTATATTTGCTGCAGTGAGCTACCTCAAAAGGTATAAGTTGTGAGAGGCAAACCCCATGTTTAGCTAAGCATCTGGAGTTGTTTAGCAACTGCCTTGTCTAAGGTTTTAATGCCTAATGAAAGCTTGATTTTACTGCTTAGATCTTAAGAAGGAATATAGTTTAAATTCTGCTGCCTAAGTCTTTTGACCGAGTCTTAAATCAGTATTTTGTGAGCTTTCATGGGCATTAAGGATTGTGTGTATATGTGTATAAATCCATTATTGTTAGATAAATAGATTCCTTTTGTCATTTTTTTAGTGTAGAAAATTCGTAGACTATGTTGGTCAAGCCAAATTGAACTTTTAAATCCAGCTTTTCCAAAAGGATATTTCTTCTTTAAGTCCTAATGAGCACTGTCTTGAGTGGGCTAATAGAGAGGTCACATGTGTGTTGCAGATGAAGGCACACAATGTGTGACCTCCTCATAAAGAAAGACACCAAATTTAGACAGATTCAAGGATGTTTAAAGCAACACACATACACACACAATCTGAGGGTCAAAGAAAATCCCAGTCTTTCTTACTGTCAAATTTATAAGACAAAGCAGTACCCCAAAAGACGCGTTTGAAGTTATAGATTGCAGCACGTACCACCTGAACATGGGCAGTGTAAAACAGCAGCTAAAATCAAAACCACTTGGATTCTGGCTTAGCTTTCTCCAGACAAGTACTTAAAATAGCTTAAATAACAGGATGCAAGGGGAGGGAAAACATTTCCTTTTAAGGACATGCATTCTTGGTGTGATTCAAACTTCTGCAGGAACATGGCTGTGTAATAAGTTTATTTACTTTAAGGTTACTTGGGGAAGGGCGGTGCGGGAGTTAACTAGTATTTAAAATAATATTTGGTAAAAGGGAAAAATGTTTCCTTTAATACAAAATGCAGATTGAACCTACATGTATCAAGAGGGGGTCGGGGGAAGGACACTCCTTGTAACACTTGGTTCTTTTCTGATGAATTCAGTAGTCAGTATGAAAAATGGGCCTGTCTGGGGCAGCATTGGGAGCTGCTTAGTGATTTTTTTTTAAAGTATCATAATTTTCTTCTTTTTTAAAAAAAACAAACACTTGGTCAATTTACTCAAATTGAGCCCTTTACTTTCTGCCGGAATTGTATGCAGTGGTAAGGTAGAATTTCCTTTATCCAGCTTGTCCTTAATGTCCACCCATACTGACCATATTTTCTGAACCAAAAGTTTGAGA